AGTGCATGAACCTCCTCATGGGGCAGTGAGGAGACACCTCAGTAATGACTTAAAAAAAAAGAAATCAGATAATACTGAAGAAAAGGTAAACTAAATGTTGGGTCTCATGGGTAAAGAGATTGTGGTTTACGTTTTGTAGACAAGAGTTTTTACACTTAATTATTTTTCTTTGTTGGATTTAGAATTAGTCACAATAAACATGATTTTTTTAAAACGAAAAAAAAATTGGGGTAAGTATACGAAGTCTAATCCCTTTGTGATATTTCTGTACTGTGAGATTCCAGATACAAAATTGAAGCCCAGACTCTGTCTCTAACCAACCGGAGAGAGAAGTGGTCATCTCCTGCAGGCCAGTCTGGCCTCCAAGCGTCTGGCAATCCTTCCAGTCTTGGGCACACCTGCATCACTGATGCTTCCTGCCAGGCTGTGACTCTGTGCCCAGGTTTCAAGAGCACATGGAACAGTTTTCCTGGGGACTCCCGCTTTGTCCTGGCTCCTGGAAGCACAGGCTTTTGATGAAGGACTCTCCCCACTGCCAGTAACTCAGTGATTGCCCCCCAGGATGTATTTCTTGCATGGGGCGCAGAGAGTCTAGGCGTGGTGTCCTGGCCCTGGAGCCAGCTCTAGGGCTGCATGGCAGCCTTGCCTCTGCCCCTTATCTGGGAACAGGGCAGTGGGGAGGAGAAGGGAACCAGGGTCTTGCCCCTTCTGTGTCTCAAGAACATGGAAACACATCGTTCCACTCCCTTGCATCATTTACAGTCCAAGCTTGTGTGAAGTATTTAAGTTACTTTATAACTTATAACCTCCCTTGACAATGATGTGTTTTATATAAGCAGCATGTAGAAAGTGGTAATTATAATACCCTATCAAGTAAGATCTAAACAATAAGGAGCAGATACCACTGTAGAAAATGTTACTTTCTCCAGGAAACATTTATCTACTGCAGATGGAAATGAATCATCGCTTCCTCTTTGGCAGCTCCTGATGAGCCTGTGAAATTCTGTCCTGTTTGCCACTGTTACAGTTACAAGCTATACCTTTTCTTCTATGATGTTTATTTCTGGCCTGTTCACCACTGTTGCAGTGACAAGCTATACCTTTTCCTCTGTGATGTATATTTCTTGAAGGCATGGACTAGATCCTAATTCCACAGTATTCGATGCACATACTCAAGAGATACTTCTTTGAATGAATGGATTAATGGAAAATAGAAGTGGTGACTTCACTTTTAATTCATTAGGTCAAACTTCAAGTGTTTACACGCACAATTTTATAGTCCTTTGGATAGACTGGGCTGCTGTGCCGGGTGGTTAGAGATAGTTGGGAGTTCAGCTAATGGCTCTGTGGCTCTAGCCTCATGAAGGGCTTTGGAGGGACTTGGTTGGTGGCACCTGTGTTGAAAACTCAGTTCCACAAATCCATTCGAGTGACCTGCCAGCTCACACAGCCCTGCTTCCCAGCTGATTTCTGCAGAGGCTTCTCCTGAACGTCCTAGGTGAACATGGGTTCAGCCAGGACTGCTGGGCTTCCACAGCAAGCCAAGTGCAGGGACGAGGGAGAAGAGGGGCAGGACCTGACTGTTCCTGGGTCCCAGTGCCTCTGTGGGGATGCTGCCTGGCCTAGCTCTTCTTGGGGAGGTCAGGGAAACGATGGCATGGCGGGTGTGTTGGCATGAGCCACTTGCTCAAACATGGATCCCAGGTCTGTGTGGGAGGCAAAATAGAAGTTTATGTGGATATTGTCAGTAACATAGTAAATATGGGCTTCTTCCCTAGGGTGGCTGGCTGGAATGCAGTAGTGCTGTCTCCGCTCACTGCAACCTCCGCCTCCCGGGTTCACTCCATTCTCCTGCCTCAGCCTCCTGAGTAGCTGGGACTACAGGCGCCCGCCACCATGCCCCGCTAATTTTTTGTGTTTTTAGTAGAGACGGGGTTTCGCCGTGTTAGCCAGGATGGTCTCGATTAGAATCCTTGTTTTAAGTGCACTGGAGCAGAGATGGGGAGAGGGGACCACCCGGTTTGCTCAGAATTTGGTCCTGCTCACAGCCAATGAAGCAACATAAGCACCTCCTAAATGAAGCATTCCACAGACTGATTTTACAGATGACAGTCGTGATGGCTGGAAAAGGCTTCACACAATGAGTGAGTTTGAGCTGCATTTGAAGGAAGAACAGGTCCCTGCAGGTGGAAATGAAAGATAAGGGTGACCCAGGCCATCAGCAGCAGCGGGGATGGGGTGGTGCAGACTCCACATGGATGGTGGGCATGGCTGAAATGTAGGAGAGGGCAGGGGTGCGAAGGAACAGCAGGGCGGCACTAAAATCCCCCTGCAGAGAGGGGATGTGACTGAGATATCACATGTGTACAACTGAGAGACGGTTTGAGGATGATTTCTGGGAGCCTGTGGGAAGAGCACGTGGTCATCATCAGTTATCTGGATCTCTTTATGAAGTGGTGAAAACAGTCATGCCTCGACCTATCTTGTGAGCTGTTGTGAAGATCAAATCGTATAATCTTCAGCGAGCCTTGTAAATGCTAAAGCTTATGACAGACTGTTCCAGCCCCCTCGTCTCCACCCTCCTTTCCTCCTCGGTAACATGAATCCTGCTGTGTACCTCAATATCTGCCCGGCTTCATCCTCCATAACGTGATCCCTGAGTACTTGCTGGGTACCTCGCTGTCCATATGCATTCATCAGTAATGTGATCCTGAGTATTTGCTGGGTACCTCGCTGTCCACATTCCTTCATCAGTAACGTGAGCCCTGAGTATTTGCTGGGTACCTCTCTGCCTGCCGTACAGCTGGCTGTAGCCTTGTCAAACGCACTTGGCTGGCACAGAAGCAGAAGTGCTCGCCGGGCCTTGGGAGGGCTTTCTGGCATGTGGGTGCCTGCTTTTCCCTGTTAGGCTGGAGCTGCAGGAGCCCTCCTAGACCAGACAGAGGACCCAGGTTGTGGCCTCGGGGTGGGAGCTGAGGGCTGGGGGAGCTCCCTGGGTTTATTGTGTGGCTGAGAACAAACTTCAGCCCCGCTGCGGCACCGGGATTCAGGGTTCCTTCTGGAATGTTCTGAGTGAGAAACAGGAAGGGTGCACAGGTGCATTTTCTGAGGATTTTATGGTTATCTTGGGAGAGCACTGGTGTCTCTGAGCTATGAACCTGCAGAACCACTTCCACTAACGGCCTTCTTTAAAGAATGACTTACAAACGATGCCACTTCAGATGCAGGTATTTGCAGGTGTGGCCTGAAAAATGAACAAAACGACTCTTTCATCTCAAGGAAAGTATCTTACGTTATTCCCAGTGACAGACGTTTGAGCTTTCCAGTGAATATTAAAATACAAAAACCTTGTGTCCACCACTTTCTCATGTGATCAATGGTGATATTGATGTGGTTTTTTTTGACATATAATGAAATGTGGAAGCTGCTCATAACTCTGAACCAGTGTTTTCTAACCAATGTATGATTAGAAAATCGTGTGCTAGTAAAATCCATTCAAGCGCAGGATGGACCAGTCGACTTAGAGGGAATTGGGGCAGAAAGATCCGTCAACCAGAGTGCAGACTCCGCGTTGCAGACAGCCCGTATGGAAGTGCCGCTTATTGCATTTGGCAGCAGAGAATACCTAAAATGATCTGAGAACCCAATGAAAATACTTCTTTCTAATTGTATATCAGCATGGGGTGGGACTTTCTTCATAAACTTCTACTATGGCTCTGCAGCCCACTGAATGCAGATTCAGGCATGAGAACCCGGCTGTCTGAGGTGCAGAGATGTTAGGTGTTTTCACAGTGGCACAAACGGTTGCCACACTGCTGCTTATTTTGGAAAATGGTTTCTTCAAGACTGTGTTAAGATGTAATGACTTTATCATTGTAAAATGAACTAAATTGTACTTTTTTTTTTGAGAAGGAGTCTTGCTCTGCCACCCATGCTGGAGTGCGGTGGTGTGACCTCAGCTCACTTCAATCTCTGCCTCCTGAGTTCAATTGATTGTCCTGCCTCAGCCTCCCTAGTAGCTGGAACTACAGGTGTCCACCACCACGCCTGGCTAATTTTTGTATTTTAGTAGAGACAGGGTTTCACCATGTTGTCCAGGCCAGTTTTGAACTCCTAACCTCAAGTGATTCACCTGCCTCTGCCTCCCAAAGTGGTGGGATTACAGGCATGAACCACCACTCCTGGCCTCAGAAGCCTTTTGTGATCTTTAATAAAGTGCACAGAGTTCCTGAGACCCAAAAGTTTGAAAACCACTGGCTTAAACCGACAAAATTGTCCATGATTCTTCAGTGTATCTTCTAATCTGTTGATGGAGAAAGGACGTAAGGGTTGTTTTCCTTTTTTCCTTTCACATCTCAATGGTGCTGGGACAACTGGGGTATCCACATGGAAAAGGATGGCCTGGGCCCTTCCTCACCCTACGCAGCTTAAAATGGATCCAGCGTAAGGAGCTGACTGCAAGACCCATTCTGTCAGTCTGCTGGGTACCATGACCAACACCACAGACCTTGCGGCTTAAACAACAGCATTTTATTTCCTTTGTTCTGGAGGCTGGAAGCCTGGGGTCAAGGTGCGGGCAGGGTTGGATTCTCTGGGGCCTCACCCCATGCTGTGTAGACGGCGTCTTCTCTGTGTCCTCACAGGTTTCCCTTATGTGCATGCAGCTCTGAGGACTGTGTGTCTAAATTCTCTTGAAAGAACACCAGTCATACTGGATCAGGGCCTACTCTTAAAATCTTATGGAACCTAAATTGCCAAGTTAAAGGCCCTCTATCTACATACAGTGACATTTAGGGTTTCTGGGGTTGTGATTTTAACATGGGAATCTTGGGTGGGGGGGCAGTTCAGCTGATGACACTTTTAGGGGCGAATCCTGGTGAAACTGTTATGTTGGACTAGACAATGTTTCCTTAGATGAGATGTCTAAAGCATAACAAGCAACTGAAGGGAAAAAGACAGTATCAAAATTAAATGTTCATTTCAGAAGATACTATTAAAGTAAAAAGACAGCCCACAGAACAGGACATATTATCCCAATAAGGGCCTGATATCAAGAATATATTTAAAAACTCTTAATAAAAAAATCCAATTTAAAAATGGACAAAGCATTTGAATACATTCTCCAAAGACATAAATGTCTTAAAAAGCACATGAGATGTATAACAGAATTCATCATCTTAGGTAATGGAAATCAAAACCACCATGAGATACCACTTCACAACCACCGAGATGGGTAAATCCCCAGTATTGGAGAGTGACATGTTGGTGAATTGGGGAAAACTGAAATCTTTATATACAGCTAGTGGGAGGGGAAGTAAAATGGTACAGTTGCTTTGGAAAAGTCTGGCAGTTCCTCAGAAAAGTTAAGCATAAAATCACCGTACGACCCAGCAATTTCACTCCTAGGCATATACCCAAGAAAATTGAAAACATTTTTACAAAAAACTTATGGAAGAATCTTCATAGTGGCACTATTTGTAATAGTAGAAACAGCCCAGGTGTCAACAGATGAATGGATAAAACACGAACACAATGGAATATCACTCAGCTGTAAAAAGGAGCAAAAGAACATGTGCTCCAACTCGAATGAGCCTTGGATGTGAAAGATGCCGGCGCCAAAGGTCACGCACTGTGTACGAGTCCCTTCACAACAGGTGTCTAGAATGGGCAAATCCAGAGAAACGGAAGTCGGCTGGCGATTGCCAGGGGCTGGCAGAAGGAGAAGGTGCTGACTCTTAATGGGTCCAAGGTTTCTTTGGCCGGTGGTGAAAAAGTCCCGGAACTACATACTAGTGGTTGATTGTTGTGCAGCTTTGAGAATACGCGAAAAAGACCGAATTGTATCCTTTAATATTGGGGCTTTTATGGTTTGTAAATTGCTTTTCAATTTAGAAAGGAACTCAAGAACTACTTTGGTGTTATTTAGAATGTGAAAGAGACAGTATCCAAAACATGTTACTATGTAACTCACATCCCCAGAGAGTTAAACTTCATTAAAGGATGTGTTTGAGCCTAGGAGACACAACGATCCTATACTATATATTAGAGCCCATCTTACTGATTTCTATTTCACATAACAACCATATTCAGGGAAAACGGACATGTAAACGTGAGCTGAATGCTATGCAGAGGCACATTCCTCTTACCCGGATGGTCTTTAGTGGTGCAGTAAGAGATGCGGTCATAGCAACGTTAGTTGAATTTCCATGGCAACAGGAATTTGGCACCTCTGATGAGTTAGATCTCCCTGCACAGCTCCTAGCAGGGTTGCCCATTTCTGTGTGGTGTCTGTACGTTCTTGCTGTGGAAATAAGTGATAGCACCTGCACAAACACTTGCCTGGAAATGCGCATGAAGCTGGTGAAAGCAGAGGACAGGCGAGAGAGAAGCACGGCTCAGCCCTGGCAAAGGAGACGGTTATTTCAAATGCGGGAGATTCAGGAACCACGATCCTTGGGAAGACTGGTGATGTCTGTAGATCTCACCTCTGTCGGGTTGTCTCTGTGCAGTCAGTTACCGGAGCCGTCAGAACCGCATGTGTTGGTATCGGTGTCATCACTCAATGCTTCTGAATTTTCCTGGTGCTAAGGATGACTGCATGTGGCAGAAGTAAAGTGTTGACTTAGCGCAGATCATCAGCTCCCAATTCTTTTCTATCAAGGGGGGCAGGGTTAGAAACCCCCCCCCCCAATCTTATAAGAACTGGGATCTGATGATCTGTGCTGTCAAGAGAGGTAGGGTTAGAACACCCCACTCCCCATTCCCATTGTTGAAAATAATTGACTTGGGAGGGTTTTTACTTCTAAGATTAAAGCCGTGCATTTTTGGAGCCTGGGCTGTCAGCTGTGGTGGCTGGGGAATGCTGGGGCTGCGGTCATCTGGCCGCTGGCAGCTCTGCTGGTGGGTCCTGTCTCTTTGACACCGTTCATTTCTGAAGCTTGCTTTCCTCGGTGTTGGAAGTAGCAGCACTGGAGGAATGGCCTCCTTCCTACAGCGAAGCTCTGCCAGGAGAGGAGAAGACACGGAGCGTCTATTGAAGGATGTGATGTTTGGGGCACCGCACCATGTGTTCTGCTTCTCAGCGGTGCCTCCTGGTTGATGTTAGTATCACCTGGCATTGCCCAGGAGGTAACTTGCAGATGCCACACTGATGGAAAGCTGCAGCAGCGTGGTTCGAGTCCAGAGCCAGCTGGAGCTTATCAGCAAGGTCAGGCTGGACACACATGCTCCACCCAGTGGGTGGGTCTGTGGAGCTGGGGTGGCGTGAGAGCCAGAGAGTCCTGGTGGAACCCTGCCAGATGACAGGAAAGGGGCCCATGAGGAGAGGAACCAGTGGATTCGAGACAGGAAGTGGAAGGAGCTCAGGAAGGAGTGAGCCGTCTCAGGGTGGGAGGCTCAGGAGCCAGCAGGCGAGTGGGATGTGGCTTTGGGGTGCTGCTGCTTTGGTGAGGGGCCTTCGGTGACTTTTCTGAGTGCAGTCAGTTGTAGGGGTGGGTGCCGGCTCCCACAGAAGAGCCAAGCGTTCTGCAGGAGACCAACGTGTGCACTGGGAATTCCCAGGTGCGTGTCCTGGCACACGGCCCAGAGGCACCTGACAAGGCTCAGTGCACCAGGCACACAGTGGACTGTTGGTGCCTGATCCAACGAGGGGAGTGAGTGAGGGCCGAGACACAGGTGCGGGGATGCATGGAACGGGGGTACAGTCAGGTGGAGAGTCATGCTGTGGGGTCCGGGAGAGACGGGTTCGAGAATAAATGGGACGGGGGTATATTTCGGTGGAGAGTTCATGCTGCTGCGGTCTGGGAAATGTGTTTTTGCTTCTATCTGAGAAACTGTACCTGAGTGTGTCTGTGCTTTGACATTTAATCTGTGCACTATCCTCCGCAGGGTGCATATCTCTGTGGCAGAGGATACCCCGGGCACAGTGGATGACAGTGGCTGTGGCTGGACTCGGGGTCCGTGAAAGTTGCGTGATCGAACGTGTTTGGTACATTCTCAGCACCTGCCGTTGCCTCCCGAGCATCGGGGTGCTGTGGCTCTCCACACCCTACCCATCTGCGTGTAACATGACCACCACCTTCCTACCATGTTTGTCCTACCACAGCTGCCGTGTCTAATGGACGTTTTGCTTTCCAGCTACTTTCCTATAATCAAAACCCTTGACTTTCCCTGTGTTTCAGAGATGACAGGGTATTAGTCTTTCATGATTGCTCTAAGGATTTCCAAAAGCAAATGCATCTTACAGGATGCAAGATATTGGGGGCAGTAATTATAGATGATTTTCCTCAGTCTTTTGATTGTGGTAAAATTACATAGCACTCGAACCATTTTTAAGTGTATGGTTTGGTGGCATTAAGTGTGTTCACCCTGTTGTGCCACGATCACCGCCATCCATCTCCAGAACTTCCTAGTCTCCCCACGCTTGAAACTCGGTCTATCAAACACTAGCTCTCCTCCTGCCACAGCTCTGATAAGCATACAGATTGCTTGGAAAAGAGGCTTTGTCAATAAGAGAAGGGGCCAGGAGAAGAGCTCTCAAGACTCTCTTGAGATTTGAGGAAGTGTTTTAGGTTTTGCTCACTGGTTCCCAGTGTAAAGGAACTATTGAAGACGTGGGAAGGCGAAGGTCTGTGATCTCAGGAAGTGCTGGGCTGGGCAGCTTTCCCGCTGTGACGGGGGCACTTGCCCTCAAACCCTCCTGAGATAATCGCATGAGGATGGTGCTGTATTGTGACAGCTCTTAACTTGGTCTCCTCGAACGTTGCCAAGTACATAAGCTTTGGCGGTTCCCGTCTAGTGTCTGCGGGAGACCTAGAATTGGAACATTGTTGACTTTAGAACACACTCATTCTTATAACGCTCTACCTGTTCTCATCAATAGGATGTATGCTGTGTCCTTTTTTTTTTTTTTTTTTTTTTTTGCTTTAATATTCTGTGTTGCAGTAGTTGCAGCAGACTCTACTTCTGGTTCATGGTTATTGCCAAACAGAAGCTTCTGGAAACCATGTGAAAAATGAAGGGGGAAAGTGGTTTTCTACATAAGCCTTTTTTTGAACATCTTGCTTTTTTTCTGGAATATCTGTTGTGGTGTAAAACGTTTTCTTTTTTTTTATTTTTATTTTTTATTATTATACTTTAAGTTCTAGGGTACATGTGCATAACGTGCAGGTTTGTTACATATGTATACTTGTGCCATGTTGCTGTGCTGTACCCATCAACTCGTCATTTACATCAGGTATAACTCCCAATGCAATCCCTCCCCCCTCCCCCCTCCCCATGATAGGCCCCGGTGTGTGATGTTCCCCTTCCCGAATACTATGCAGCCATAAAAAAGGATGAGTTTGTGTCCTTTATAGGGACATGGATGCAGCTGGAAACCATCATTCTTAGCAAACTATCACAAGAACAGAAAACGTTTTCAATTTAGGGAGTTGTAACGTGTTTTATTCTGGTTAGTTTGAAACCCCATGTTTCTGCATGTCATGGGGCTGCTTTATCCTGTTATTCTATGATATAGCTGGTTTTCAAAACTAATGGTTATTTCACTTTAAAAACCAAAGGAGCTTACAGTATGAGTGTGATTCCCATAAGAATTTAATTGTAAAATTGATTCGTGTTCAATAAACTTACTGGAATGACGCGTTAGATCAGTGGACGAAAAGATGATAAGAACATGTCAAGTCTCTGGGCCAGGAAGGACTTCCAAATAATACACGTGATACACAGTAATTTCTTAACAAAAGATTAGATTTAGTACATAACTGTTTAAAATCTCTATTTTCTATTATAGCCATTCCACAGTGCCCACGGGGGTGGGCTGCAGGACTGCCTATGGACACCAAGGTGTGTGGGCGCTCAGGTCCCTGGTATAAAATGGCATCGTGTTTACATATGACATACACACATCCTCCCGCAGACTTTCAGTCATGTCAGGGTTGCTCATAACACCTATACCATGGACATGCCATGCGAGTAGTTGTTAAACGATATTGCTTAATGAATAATAGTCTGAATGCTTAGTACAGACACCTTAAAAAAGTATTCTTGGTCTATGTTTGGTTGAATCCACAGGCCTGGAACTCGGGGATAGAGTACAAACTCTAGAAGCAAAATGAACAAATAAAGAACTTGAGGTCAGCAGTGACGGGTGTAGGATCACACTGAATCTCGTGTGTTTTGCTGTCTGTGTCACTACAGAGTGTAAACGGGGACCATTTTTAGCTTAAGGTAAAATAGGTAACAGGAAACACTATGGAATGGGCACGAAGGCGCGCCCCTCATTACCACGTGTTACAGCCAAGTCTCTGCCTCTTGGGGAAGGATCTGTTCTGTGGGGAGACTAGACGTTGATGATTTCTGGACATGTGAAGAGAAATGGCCTCCGAGAAGTGTGGCTTTGGCTGGAGCACATCAGACGAAAGTTAGCGTGGCGTGGAGTTGCCACAGTGCCCCTCACACCTGCTGCTTCTCTCCTCTCCTCTCACCCCTGGCCCTGGCCCTGGCCCTGGCTCTGGCTCTGGCTCTGGCTCTTACCAAGGGAGGAAAGTTCAGCTCCAGCTGAACCCCACACAGGGCTGTGGGTCTCTAGGGCAGGTGCTGCCTTCTCCTGAACAGGCTGTGGCAGAGGAGGGTCTGGCCGTACTTGAGCTGTGAGCGATGCTCTCAGAGATCCAGCATCCTGCAAACCCAGGTGCTGAAGGTCCCTTCTCCACCGTCCTGCAGAGAGAGGGGTCTGTTCCTGCTTCCCCTCAACCTGAGCTGACTTCTTGTCTGTTCTGTACACCTATCTCTTAAGAGCAGTTATTGTTAAAGATAATCCTCTACCACACAAACACCAGAAGGTGACAGTCTGGGAGGGTAGATGGGGCTGGAAGATGGTTTCCTGAATAATAGGTTCAGTTTCCTGTTTTGGTGTCACTTGACCCAAGGCCCCCAGATAATTGAAATATTGTTAACAAAACACCCATGTTGTATCTGAGTTTTTTTTTTTTTTTTTTTTTTTTTTTTTTAAAGCAATGGGTGCAAACTTCTAACAGGGACCTGACAAAAGAGAAGGATTTCTTTTCTGCAAAGCGAGGGTTGGGGCTAGTTGGCATTTGCCATCTGTGACTAGCAGGGACCCAGGCTGCTGCCCGACTCCTGACCCTCCAGCTCCTGCCCCGTTCCTGTTCCCACCAACAGGAAGGAGAGCGGGAAGGTGGCTTTTCCCCTTTAAGGGGATGAGGTAAGAGTTGCACCTGCCATTTCGCTAGTCCCTGGAGTGCTTCTCCAGCATGGATGGGAGTTGGGTTTGGCGGCCTGAGCCCCGTGAAGCTGGGGTTGCTGTTCCTTGAGCAGCAGGAAGCCTGGACTCTGGGGAGTGGGGTCAGAGGGTAGCCTTTGCTGCATCCCCAGGAGGGGGCCCCTTGTCCCAGTTGACATCACTGCAGAAGGGGGTGTGGGTTTTCATGGTCCATTGATAAATAGAACGTTCCTTTTTTTTTCTTTTTTTTGAAGCACATCAAACCCTAATTCCTTTGGCCTTTACTAAAGTGGCATTTTGTGATTCCACATGATTGCATTATACCCACAGGAGAGAATGCTTCCTGTAAACCAGAAGCATCTGAGATAGTTCTTGGCCCATTCAGAAAGTTCATTTTCCCAAGGTTAAAGACACAGCGTCAGGAGGGGTTGAGGACACACTGTGACAGTCTCAGGATGGGTTGAGGACACACCTGGGACACAGCCTCAGGAAGGGTTGAGGACGCACCGTGACAGTCTCAGGACCCCAAGGTGTTTGGGGCACAACTTGGTCTTACACATTTTAGGGAGATGTGAGACATCAATATATGTGAGATGTACGTTGGTTTGGTCCAGGAAGGAGGGATGACTCGAAGCGGGGAGGGGTTTCCAGGTCACAGGTAGATCAGAGACAGATGCGTTTCTGGTGAGCCTTTCCAGAGAAAGCAGTAAGATCCGCATTTATCTCCGTGTGCAGATGGTGACTTTGAGTTCTGTCCTCTGTCCCTGAGGAATTTCCTTGTGGACCAACGGTTGTGAGGGAGGTACGTGGCTTCCCCCCCCCCCCCAGTCTCTGTTAGGAGCATGGGAGGCAGATTTGCCCTAAGCCGTTTCCCACCTTGACTTCCCTTTAGCTTACTGATTTCGGGGTCCTGAGATGTATTTTCACTTCACACTTCTGAACACACTGGCACTCTAAACAGTGTTGTAGGAGGCGTTCTAACTGATTTAGAAGAAGACACTATTTGGAAGGACTTGAGCACCTTCTTCCTTGAGAGAAACAAGCCTTTGTTTATTTTCCCTGAGGCTGTTAGGCTGGCGGCGTGGGTGGCCTTAGAAAGCTGTGCCTCTCTGAGCACCTGCCTGTGGAATCTGGTGACTTTGAGGTCAATCCAGCAGCTACATGTTTTTGAAAGCAGATTGTCTCTTAAAGTGTTGGTGATTGATTCTAACACCGGAATTTCAATGTGTATTTTCCACCCTCCTTACTTTGTCTCATGCCCTGAGATACTGCTGCATTTGTCCTTAGGCTTCATTGAGGGAGGGTCAGTTCTGGCCCTTTCTTTAGATACTGACCTTGAATGGACAGAATCGAGGTTCAGAAAAAGCCTTGAGCTGTGAGAGTGTGCTGATATCTATGTCAGTGGAATTCATGTGTTAAACTCAGTAATAGTTTAAGAAATATCAATCCTAGGCTGGGCATACTGGCTTACACCTGTAATCCCAGCACCTTGGGAAGCTGAGGTGGGCAGATTCACTTTTGAGCCCAGGAGTTTGAGACCAGCATGGGCAACATAGCAAGACCCTGACTCTACAAAAAATTAAAAAGTGGTGGTGTGCACCTGTGGTCCCAGCTACTCAGGAGGCTGAGGCTGCAGGATCACCCAAGCCTGGAAGGTTGAGGCTGCAGTGAATTGTGATAGCACCACTATACTTACGGTGCACTGTGCCTGAGTGACAGAACAAGAACTTCTGCCACCACACACACACACAATCAATTGTAAATGAACAGAAAAGAGACCTTTTAAGTGGAAAAACATCCTGTTTGGTTGCTCTACTTGGGTAACTGTTGACTCATTTGCCAGGAAGAAAATGCAGCGGCCAGGTCTGCTGGGACCACCTGTTAAGGCTACTCTGGGCCTCATGGTTTGAGAAGGGTCTGTCCAGGGGAGAGTGGGAGTGGCTTAAGGGCCTAGAAGCCAGTTCTTGTGGTTCAGCGTGACTCAGGGTGTGGAGCTGGGGGCAGGGCCCTCTAGGGCATGAGTGGATAAACCGATGGGCTTCCAGGATGAGCCCCTGTGACTTTGCCTGGTTTACATCTGTCCAGTACAAATCCACAGTCTCTTACTCTAGAAGCTTCTGCCAGGGCTGATGGACTGGCCTGGGGATAGAGGGTGCCCTCAGAGCCTCAGGGTGCCTTCTGGTTTAGGAAGAGCACTTAGTCACCTAGATCTAGGATTTATGGCACTACAGGGGACTCGTCACACTCAGAGAAGCAGCCATGTACATTCTAGACTTGGTTCTAGGCGAAGTATTTTAAAGCCTGTTGGAACCCTGTGTTCTGTTTATCTGTAAAACAAGTTAGAGTCCTAACTAGTTAAAACCTATTTTTAAAATTTTGCCACAGAATATGGCAGTTGTGGTGGAGCCTGGCCAGAGACCCCACACTCAGAGGCTGCTGCATGCTGGGGTTGCAAGCATTGCCTGCATCAGCTGCCTCTCCTGGCGCATCTGTGTTTTTGACATGGGCGCCCATAGAGGCTCGGCCTGTGGGACTTGTGCAGCCATTTTTCCGTGTTCCTCTGAGGTTCCACAGACTTCATGGGCCCGTGGCAGAGCGTATGGTATCTGCTTGCATCCTGATTTCCCCAAACCCCAGGACAGGCCAAGAATTCCTTACACACAGCTGCAGAGGGCCCCGGGGCGTGCATTTGCGGGTGACACAGGCTTTCCCCAGCTCGGCCTTCATCTCCAGAGTTGGCTTTAGAGCGATAGAAGCTTCCATCAGACTGGGGGGCCCTGAAGCTTTGGTGGTAGGAATTGGGTGACCAGCACGCATGATACCCCATTTCTTTGCATTTGTAGCAATAGTTGTTAACATGACCACGAGATGTACAGAGGAAGGAAAAAAGGAGGTTTTTTATTTTCAGAGTAAGTCTGTGCTTTGGGAAATGTGGTCTCGGGGGAGCTGTAAGCAGACGCCTCTCATGAGGGGAGGAGGCCGCGGCGTTAAACGTTCCGGTTTTTGTTTGCTGTGTGTGTTCATCGGGCTCATGGAATGTCTGAATGTTTACAGGAAAACTGGGGTTTCTTCATCCAGTTCGTGGAATGTCTGAACACTTACAGGGAAAGTCTAGCACATGCGCAGTGAGTTAACCTCTAACATCCATGTTTTGCCTTGGGGCTAGTGTAACATTCGAAATGAGGCGGACTCAGCGTGTCATGTACAAAGGTGAGTTGTTGGGCACAGACGTTTATGCGCAGCCTCAATCACAGCCAGGACTTGCTTAGAGTCTGCGGTTTCTGGCGGGAAAGAACACTCATGAGGCCATTCTCTCCAGTTGGGGCTGCCGGCAGGGTCCCAGGGTGGGGCTGTCTGGTCGGCCGGCGTCGGAAGTCCACCCAGGTCCCTTCTGTCTGATGGCGGAGGAGACTTCAGGCTGGTTAACAAACTGTACAGGAGTTAGCGTCGTGGGGCTTTGGGGCTGACCTTCCTCCCTGTAATGCCGGTTACATTTCTCTCCGGGCCTCACTGTAGCCACAGAGAATCCACCTCGTCTGACAGCAGGGGGTGCCATGTTGACATAGTGATTTATTGTATTAACCTTTTTATTACTATTTTAATACAAGCCTTTTTTTTCTTTTTAAAGTGATAGGGTCTTGCTGTGTTGCCCAGGCTAGACTTGAACTCCTGATCTCAAGCAATCCTCCCATCTCGGCCTCCCAAAGTGCTGGGCTTACAGTTTGAGCCACTGTGTCTAGTCCAAAGCCATGTTTTTAAAACTTGGCAGTTTAAAAACACTACTCCTTTCACCCCCTCAAGCAGGTTGGTTGGCCTTGTACCAACTGGAGTATCTGGACCTTGGTCCCCCTTTTATTTTTCCCTTTGGCCTCAAATTCTGATGAGAACAGCAGTTACAAAAGGGGCATTAGGTGACTCTTCAGTTACTAAAGCCAGAATTCTCACTAGTTAGAGATGTTTGTCCCCAGGATCCCAGAAAGCTGTTTTTGAATCAAGCCCAGAGCAAATAAGTAAGGAACTAAAGCCTTGGTCCTCTGCTTAGTATCTGGGGAATGTGTTATTGCTCATACCCTTTCATCTGTGCTGACGTGCTGCATCTCATCACGGGAAGCAAAGTCGCCCTGTGGAATAAAGCCAGGCTCACGGTGGCACGTCGGGATGCTCCGGGCTGCCAATCCCTTAGATGGCGGCAGACATGGAGGCTCAGCATCTTGTGCAGAGCCCGGGCAACCGGGGTGCATCCTTGGAGACCACACAGACGGTCGGCAAGGTTGGACGTCCAGGCAGATGGCCCTGATGGTCTCGCCACGCAGTGGTGAGCTAGGAATTTGTTAGCAAAGAAATGAAACTCGCTTGTGGGTCCCAGCTACATGGAAGGCTGAGGCGGGAGGATTGCTTGAGCCAGAAGGTCAAGGCCACGATGAGTCATGATTGTAATACTGCACTCCGGCTTGGGTGACAGAGCGAGACTCCGACTCAAAAAATAAAAGCAAGCAAGCTAAACCCTTACTCTCCATAGCAGGAGGGAGAATTTATCCAAGTAACTGCAACAAAAGTCTTAGATGATGTAATTTCAGTGGCTAAATGAGCTGTCCAGCCCACGTGGCTGGCTCACAACGCAATAGAGCCAGGTGCTGCTGCAGCGCCCTCCCACCCGATCGCTTGTGGACATTTTCTGTTTTCCCATATCTCTCTTTTGGATACATAGCTCACTTATTTGTAGCTAAGCATCAGTAAAACAGGTTGTCTATTTT